TAGTTGTTCTCTGTACCATATAGACCCCCACCGTCTTGGGCATGCTATTTTAAAAGGCACACCAGGGGGAAGGCAGGCATTTCACAAGCAGCTATTTCTCCAGGGGTGCACAAGGCAGTAAACGGTCCCCACGGTGACCAGGTGCTGGGCAGCAAGAGACAAAAGAGGCAAGGCCTCAGAACTTAGAAGAAGGGAATCTGGGAGTCCTGACCCTCCCAGCAGACAATTCATTACAAAGATCAAGTGGTGGCAGCAGCGGGTTACCCAAGGGAGAAAGAAAAGTCTCTCCAGGTGTGGGAAACCCCTGGGGGGCACGGTGGACTAGAGCCTGCAGGCCAGAGCAGACCCATTCCACCACACCCAGAATAAAACTTTGCTGGTCTTAAAGGTGCCACTGGATTCCAGCCTTTCCCTGCTGCTTCCGAACAACACAGATACCCATCCGAATCTTTCAAAACTGTGGTAGTGTGTGCATTATGTACCCCAGTGCTCTTCTCCACCTCTCTTTCAGCAAACGAAATCAAAGCAAGTTGATTCTACGAGGGATGAGCGAACACAAATCACTGGAGAATTGCTCTCCGCCGCCTACGCCCTCTTGGCCAGGTAGTAAATGTTTCTGAACTTGGTTTGAGCTGCCAGCTTCCACCACACAATTAAGCTGGCTGCTTAATCATAGTCTTCTTTTAAAAATAACCTGCCACAGCCAGTTTACAATCACATTCTTGCTTTTGAAGTCAGTGCAGGACAGCCCATTACTGAGAAAACTGTTGCCACTGCTTCTCGGCTTCGTCATGAAACTAGAGAAAGAGGAGCCCTCAGGTGGAGTCGGATCTGGGCTTCTAATGTCCTGGCGCTGCTGGTGGATCTCCTGACGGCACCTGGCATTTCTGGCCATTGTGTGACCAGAGTGTTGGACTGGATGGGCCTTTGGCCTGATCCAACATTGGCGTCTCTTATGTTCTTATGTTATGTTCTTATGTGCCAGGGTGCCTAGCAGCCTCCCCCTCCTCCCTCTGACAGTCTCACCCTTTCGATGGAGGGGGGCTTGTCCACTGGAGTGTGAACCAGGCGCTGCGTAAGTGTTGGGTGTTACAAGTCAAAACACTTCAGTATTTACAGGGTTAATGATGTTTGTTAAGTCACATGTTTGTTTGTAACCAATCTGTTTAGACAATAGGATGCCTGGGAACTTTGGAGCTAGTTTGCTACTCTGATTGGAAACCAAGGTGTCAAGTATTTAGCATATTGGCTTCTCCTCCCGTTCTTTGTTCTGACTGAGAAGGAGACGCCATTCGGCTCTTCCCGTTTTACCTTTTAGCTGTAAGGATGTAGACATATTAGCTCTTTGTTATTTTCATATCCTGTGTACCTTTTCCCCATGTTAGGTTTATAGTAAACTTTTATATTTTAATACACACCACGGACTCGGTCTCTTAATACTCTGCTGACTTACTTAAAAAGAATCCCAACAGTAAGAGACCCCAGCTGCTGACTTTTCTCTGTTTGGCTGAAGAGCTCTCAGCTGGCGCTGGAATCAGTTATGGCGCAAGAGAGCTTACTGTCTCTGGGACGGTGCTTGGAAGCTGGTGGGAAGGAGCCCTCAGCTGCCACTGGATCCGGGCAAGATGGAGCGATGCCCGGCTTGCATCCTGCCAGGAGAGGTTCTCCGGTCAAGCCACCCAAGTGACTGCTTGGGGGCAGCACAACCTGGAGGGTGCCGTCGTACCCTGGGCTTTGACCTGGCGCCAGAAGATGCCATGAGTGCGTCACGCCCGGGGCAACGAAACCCTTCCAACTGGTCCTTCTGCTGACCTCTCTCTGTCGGTCTCATTGATGGAAGCCGGATTGAGGTGGGATTCTCTATTGGAGACGGAGCATGATGGAGACACACCTGGCTGCTGCCATTTGTCCCACTGGCCTCTGGGAGGGAGGCATTCTCAGCTGGAATCGGGTGCCTGGCTGCTGTCATTTCCCTTGGGAGACTGTTAGTGGAAGCTGAAGGGGGATTCTCTAATGAAGGAAGATTCCAGCATGAGAGGGAGATGCCTGGCTGCTGTCATTTCTCTTGGGGGGGGGGGAATAAGTGAAAGCGGGACCGAGTGGGGATTCTCTAATGAAGGAAGATTCCAGCATGAGAGGGAGATGCCTGGCTGCTGTCATTTCCCTTGGGGGGAATAAGCTGTTAGTGAAAGCTGGACTGAGTGGGGATTCTCTCTCTTTTTTAAAAAAATTTTTATTCAGGATATAATCAACCAAATCAAACATTTACTCTAAATTTCTACATTTTTATATCCTACCCTTCTCCCTTTCCCTCCCCCTACATGGCTTCCCACAGTGCTCCAACCTCCTGCTTAGTTCTTAAATTTTCTTCTCCCATCCATTTTCTCATTACAAATTCAATAGGTAACTAATCTCTTCTTTTTTTACACTTATATCTTAATCATTTCATATTCCAAATCCTTAAAAAAGGTAAAGGTGAAGGTTCCCCTTGCTCGAAAGCCAGTCGAATCTGACTCTAGGGTTGCGGTGCTCATCTCCGTTTCAAAGCCGAAGAGCCAGCGCTGTCCGAAGACGTTTCCGTGGTCATGTGGCCGGCATGACTAAACACCAAGGCGCACGGAACGCTGTTACCTTCCCACTGAAGTGGTACCTATTTATCTACTTGCAATGTCTTGCTTTCGAACGGCTAGGTTGGCAGGAGCTGGAACTAGAGACGGGAGCTCACTCCATCATGCGGCACCCGGGTCTTGAACTGCTGAACTACTGACCTTCCACAGCCTGCAGTTCAGCGTCTTAACCACTTGAGCCTTACATTTCAATAATTATTAAAACAAAATAAATTGTCCCTTACATCCCAATACTTTCTCAAATAATCCTTTAGATCTTTCCAGTCCGCAAAAAAAGTCTTCTGCTTCCATGTTATTAAGTTTCCTTGTCATTTTGCCCATTTCCGCCATAAAAAGTAATTTTTTAATCCAATCTCCAATTTCCGGAACTATATCCTGCTTCCAACATTGAGCATTGGTCATTCTGGCAGTTGTAATCATATACCACAACAGTGTTCTTTTTGTCACATTGACCTCTTCCATTTTTAGTCCCAAAAGTAAAATTTCTGGCTCTTTCTTAAAATTGCATTTTACAATTTTCTCCATCTCTACATGAATCTCACCCCAAAACTTTTTAGCTTTTTCACATGTCCACCACATATGATAAAACGAGCCCTCTACCTTTTATTTTGCCCATTTCCGCCATAAAAAGTAATTTTTTAATCCAATCTCCAATTTCCGGAACTATATCCTGCTTCCAACATTGAGCATTGGTCATTCTGGCAGTTGTAATCATATACCACAACAGTGTTCTTTTTGTCACATTGACCTCTTCCATTTTTAGTCCCAAAAGTAAAATTTCTGGCTCTTTCTTAAAATTGCATTTTACAATTTTCTCCATCTCTACATGAATCTCACCCCAAAACTTTTTAGCTTTTTCACATGTCCACCACATATGATAAAACGAGCCCTCTACCTTTTTACACTTCCCCGAGTGGGGATTCTCTAATGAAGGAAGATTGCAGCATGACAGGGAGATGCCTGGTTGCTGCCATTTCCCTTGGGGGGAATAAGCTGTTAGTGAAAGCTGGACCGAGTGGGGATTCTCTAATGAAGGAGGATTGCAGCATGACAGGGAGATGCCTGGTTGCTGCCATTTCCCTTGGGGGGAATAAGCTGTTAGTGAAAGATGGACCGAGTGGGGATTCTCTAATGAAGGAAGATTGCAGCATGACAGGGAGATGCCTGGTTGCTGCCATTTCCCTTGGGGGGAATAAGCTGTTAGTGAAAGATGGACCGAGTGGGGATTCTCTAATGAAGGAAGATTGCAGCATGACAGGGAGATGCCTGGTTGCTGCCATTTCCCTTGGGGGGAATAAGCTGTTAGTGAAAGATGGACCGAGTGGGGATTCTCTAATGAAGGAAGATTGCAGCATGACAGGGAGATGCCTGGTTGCTGCCATTTCCCTTGGGGGGAATAAGCTGTTAGTGAAAGCTGGACCGAGTGGGGATTCTCTAATGAAGGAGGATTGCAGCATGACAGGGAGATGCCTGGTTGCTGCCATTTCCCTTGGGGGGAATAAGCTGTTAGTGAAAGCTGGACCGAGTGGGGATTCTCTAATGAAGGAAGATTGCAGCATGACAGGGAGATGCCTGGTTGCTGCCATTTCCCTTGGGGGGAATAAGCTGTTAGTGAAAGCTGGACCGAGTGGGGATTCTCTAATGAAGGAAGATTGCTGCATGACAGGGAGATGCCTGGTTGCTGCCATTTCCCTTGGGAGGAACGACCTGTCAGTGGAAGTTGGACTGAGAGGGGATTCTCTGTGGGAGCTGGACCTGGGCACAATGGCGAGATGCCCAGCTGCCTCCTGTCCTCCCTGCGATAGCCCCCATCAATGGCAATTGGAAGCCGGAGGTGTTTTCCCCCCAGGTGCACCTGGGTCCAAGCATGATGGAAAGATTTCCAGTTGCGACCATGACCTTCCCTCCGATGGCCCAACCCTTGGGCATCTTTTGGGCCCCAACGAATGTACCGAACAGCCAGGGCCCTCTAGAATGCGGACTGCAGGTTTGCCCTCTTCTTTAGTTTAGGGACACAGATTTGGGCATGTGCGGAGGGTCAGGGTGACCGAGAAAAGGCCCAGCCCCCTTTCAGGATTCCGGTTTTCAGCCTCAGCTTATTAAATGCATCCTCCCCCCCACCCCCCATTGAACACATCCTCTCTCAGTTCTATCCTTCGGCGGGGAGGGCGGAGTAGAAATGAAATCAATTCAATAAATAAACATCCCAAATGCTATGAATGCATCCTCTCCCAATTCCATCCCAAACGAACTCACTTCCCGAGGATCCTCCACACACCACCTCCCAGCTTGCAGCACCTACTTTTCTTGCCAGGCAAGTAGCTTGCTCTTAACCTCCCACTGCTGTGGCATCGCCAAAGGCTGCATCGCTGGCTTGCAGTGCGGCACACCAGGAGATTCTAGCACAAGGTCCTGTTCCACCCAGGGAAGCAGCTGTGGGGCAAACCTTCAGAGCACGGCAGCCTGTCCTTGAGCACCAATGGTTTTGGGAACCACAAAGGTGAGTGTGGCAATCGGGGCAGGATCCGTGAGGCAAGGGATGTACGGACGACGGGTAGAAACCAAGAGCAGGGAGATGTGGTATGCGCACTATCTTGGGAGAACTTTGACTAACCGCTACACCACTTCGGCTTTCTAAATGCTCTGTCTGTCTGTGATGCGCTGCCAAGGTGCTTCCGAGTTATGGTGACCCTATGGATGACTGACCTCCACAACGGTCCTCTCGTTAACAGCCTTGCTCCAGTCCTCTAAACTGGGGGTCGTGACCAGTGTTCCCTCTAAGCTGAGTTAGTGTGAGCTAGCTCACAGTTTTTTAGTCTCCGACTCACACTTTTGTCTTAGCTCAGAAAAAATGGCTCCAGAGCAAACTAATGTATGCAGTAGCCAAATTGCTTGCTCACACCTTTAATACCAGTAGCTCACAAAGTAGATTTTTTGCTCACAAGACTCCACAGCTTAGAGGGAACATTGGTCGTGACTTCCTTGAGTGAATCAATCCGTCTCTTGTCGGATCTGCCTCTTTCCTGCCGCCGCCAACTTTCCCTAGCGTGATTGTCTTTCCCAGTGAGCGTTGTCTTCTCATGATGCGACCGAAGGATGACAGCCTCAGTGTAGTCATTTTAACGTCTAGAGATTTGTGTCTACTGATTTGTCTTTTTTTGGCCGTCCACGGTATCCATAAAACTCTCCTCCCACATCACGTTTCAAATGAAATGCTTTACGGAGCGTACAAATTATACTTTGCTAGACCAGGCCCAAGGTCCAAGAATAAATCCCTGGAAATTTCACAAGCAGGGACACGTTATCTCCTATTTTTTGTCACTGGCCTCTAGGATATACTGCCTGTGAATGTGGAGGTTCCATTTCCAGCTGCTGCATTGTAAAATTTTGTGATCGCTGCTTGTTTACTGCATTAAAAAAAAAAAATTAAATCCCTGGAGGGATATTTTTTTATTTTGCAAAACTACAAACCACAAAGAAATATTAGGGAGGGGACTACATCTATGGAGAAAGGAAAGCAAACCACACTAAACTAAAACCCCAAGAGGAGGAGATCATCTCACTGTTAGTAAAAGTGTTAGTACTGTTAGTGTTAGTATCACAATATACTTGTAGAGTTCTTGCTTATAACAGTTCGCTTCCGATATGTTATTTTGTTAGTTGTTAAAATTTTGTGATCACTGCTTGTTGACTGTGGCTCGTAGTTGTCTGAAGCGCTGTCCTGCTCCACAAACTGATCTAATCCTTCTCCGATTCACCCAAGTCCCCAGCGGTGGCAGCATCCTGTGCCAGGGAATTCCAAGACTGAACTCACATGTTGTTCTGCAGGTTGACGCTGCAAAAAAATATTCCCGCACCTGTATTTAGCAAGTGTAGGGAGCGCAGATGTAAATCTGTGGGTAGCTAGTTCATGGAGTCCTCTAATTAGTGCTGGGCGATTAATTCTTCTGGCACCCCGTCTGTCTCGCATGGCAGACGACATTTCTGGAAGATAAGAGCCCTTCCCACAACTGATCTGGGAGATAAGATGCCGGTGTCAAGATCTGGGACGGGAAGAGAGTGTCCAGAGGAATCCCTGCTTAATCCTTGTTGTGTGTGTGTGTGTGTGTGTGGGGAGCAGGTGGAAAGGAGGAAGTCAAACGGTGCTTCTGGCTTTTCTGTTTATTTGTTTAGATCAGGGGTCCTCAAACTTTTTAAACAAGGGGCCAGTTCACTGTCCCTCAGACCGTTGGAGGGCCGGACTAAGCTGTGGAGTCTTGTGAGCTCCTGGCATTAAAACTGTGAGCGAGGGATCCCTCCGAAAATGTCCCTCCCCACCACCGCAGTGTGAAGCCAGGCCTCCAGGGCCTGGCGTGTGGCCAGGCGGGGAGAAGCGCTGCATGTGGGAAGCAGGCTTGGCGGCAGCTGAGCAAAGGCAAGTGAAGCCCCGCCACGGCTTGATTTCAAAAGGGAAAGCCCCGCAATACAGACACGCTTCCCTCCAGCGAGGGTCTCTCTTTCTGCCGCTCCACTCCAGCAACCTGCTAATTTAGCCCCGGAGTGCCTTATTGCAGGGCTCGAGGTGAAGCGATGTTTGTCTTAGCTCAGGAAGGAGGGCTCCAGAGCAAACTAATCGATGCCGGAGCCAAATTACTGGCTCACAACTTGAATGCCAGTAGAATCTTTGCTCACAAGACTCCACTGCTTAGGAAACATTGCCCGGGAGGGGGTCCCCGCTTTCTCTCACTCTGCAGGCCCCAAGCGGTGGGGGCAGTGGGTGGGTGGCTCACACCGTTCGAGAGCCAAAGGTGGCGATGCACCTCCCTGTGGCCCCACTGCCCTCCTCTCGGGACCGAGCCCCTCTGGCCAGTGCCCTGCGC